TGGAGTCCACGCTCGTCCCTGCGGATGCTAGCACGGGCCCTTGCCCGTGCTCCACCTTTTTACCGGTCTCTCACAACGTGCTGCCGTCCTTCCCGATCGGAGACGACGAAAGCATGTATTGTGACGCGGACGTGCGAAGCGCTTTGAGACGGACCGAGCAGATCCGGCTGCATAACCCCGCCAGGGCCTGCCATATCGGAAGGAGTGGGTTTCTGTTGATTGATCGGTTCTCTTCCCCTCCTCTAATACTGCCCTACATCGATCTCATGGTGTTGCCCTGGTCAGCGGCACAAGCGACGTGGCGGCCTCGGTTTAACAGTCGTTGGTGTCGTCAGGGGGATTCGTGTTCCTGGCGGAGATTAGTCTTGGGATACGAAGGTGCGGCTCGGTTCCCAGAACTCTCCCGCAACATGGGCATGCTCCCGGCTAATTTTTGAACTTGGGTTCCTTCGGTCTACCCTGCCCTCGGCGACCCCCCACCAGGATGTCCACACGGGCTCGACGAGTCTGACGCCGAGGCCTGAGATTTCCGAACCGACCGCCCCAAGATCCGCACGAACCAGGTGCCACGGGGAAGAAAAACTTTGTTCCCCGTCGTTTTCTTCCTTTTTCCTTCCTTCCCTTTTTGATTGTTTCCTTTTTTCATTGATGGTCGTACCGGAATGAGCTTTCTCCCCGTCCCTTGCCCTCGACGACAGCTCGAACCCCCAACAAGGCAACTCTTGGCTCGAAACAAGAATCCCCTGTTTTGCCCGGATGATTTAACCCCACGGCCAAAAATCCTCGCCCACACCCCCAACTACTCTGATCGGTGTTCGAAGTACGGAACACCGCGCGGGGTGTGAGGTTGCACATCAGATCTTTCATTGGGAGGCCTCGGTGGGCAATCTGCCACTGGAGCGACGTTATCCTTGCTGGTTTCTGCTTAGCCTCCTGGAACCAGCGGATGGACTTAAGCTGTTGGCGATCGATGTTTAGTTGTTTCTGCCACCGGTCATTAACCACGTCCTTCAAGTTCCCTGACTCTCAACATTCTATAGGTGGCTTTGACCGTCAACTTGGACAATTGCTTGGATGTGGTGGTGGCTCGAGGGCGTGTAGTAATGGTCCATTGCCACTCTACGGGAGCCAGCGGTAGAGGTCGGTCTGAAAGGTCTGCCGCTCTGCTCCCGCCTCCACCACCCTGGCCTGTATTGTTCCCTTCTCAATCGACTGAAACGGGTCCCTACTCCCACCAGCTGACCCTGTCTCCCTAGGGTATAAAAATCAATCAGCATATCATCTGGATGTAGCTGACGTACGAGCCCTACCCACTCCCCCTCTACCACTGTTGGGCCTTTGTGAAGGATAGTGCACCCGAGTCAGACCGTCTGCCACGTCAACCTGCGACGCGGCGTGGTCAAGCGCTTTCGATCCCCAAGCGTACGCTAAGCGCTAGGATTGTGCCGAAAGGATGACCATCATGCATGCCTCACACCATCGCCTGAGCAGCCAGCGCCCCGCTGCAAGCCACCGCCTCGCCGTGCTCAGGGAAGGACGTGGTGGAGGGACAATAGGGTTTAATAGGTGGTTTGGCAGATGAACTCTGTCGGTGATAGATGGAGACAGAATCCCCTTTCAGTGGCCTGAGGATGGCTGATGTGGCAGTGTTGCCAGATTCATGCCGGCCAGTTGCCTGGAGTGGGTCGTGATACCCTGTAACCCATAGTAAGTATTTTGCAGCAGTATGAGGTCTGGCAGAGAAGATTTGGGGAATATGCTGCCATTTGCACTGGCTTGAGGGTCACCGATTCTTCAAGTAGGTACTAGGTAGTCATATTCATCTTAAAATTCTGTAATTTCATGATATTCAAGTAGAGACTGTCATAATTTCTTAGTCTTTCTTGGCTGTAAAACTTGTCTGCTACAGCCAGGTTCATGCTTTCTTGGCACAAAAATAGCACCAGTGCAGCCAAGACCTAATAGTCTATCCATCAGAGTTGCTTCTTAGGAAAGATCCTTATGTACTGAGCGCTTAGGTAAGGCAGGCTGCCGAACGGGAATTGGAAGGAGGGGGGGCAGGAGCAGTGGGGAGAGGGGGGCACGAGGGGGGTAGGAGGGGGGTAGGACGGGTGTACGAGGGGGCTAGGAGGGGGGGGGGACAGGGGAGGGGGGAAGGGAGGAGATATAACCACAAGAAGAAGTTTCAAACTGGCAGCAGACAGTTCCACTGGGACCTTGCTTTGTCAGATCCAAAGTAGCCCGTGACGTTAATTTTTTTCTAGAAAGAATAGATGCGCATGGCTTATTGTACGCCGTGCGGAACATGTTGACAGTAGAGCATGGGATCGCGGCCTGGGTATGACAGGGGATGTTTTTGGTGATCAAGGCGATTTGAGGAAGGAGGATGATCGGATGGCGAAGTGAACAAGGACATTGGTTTTTTGGAGATGCAGGAGCAGTGACGTAGGGAGCTGGGATGAAGCAATATTTCATTACCTGAGTGGACAAGGCAGAAGGGCAGTGCTGGAATGTTCACGCAAGCACTCCAGTTTCTTTCATTTTGGCACATTATGTCCTCCATGAAAGTAAAGGCTCACATTTTGTGCTAAATGTTGAAGTGTGCTTTCTGTTTTTCCTTTCTTTGTGTTTTTTATTGTTCGCTCAATCTGCAATCAGACTCGTTTTCAAACACACTTTTCATGCATGTAAACAGCAACGCAGCATACTGGCGACATGCGCCCACTCAAAACTCAGAGA